GAAAGACAAACTCAGATCTTCAGTTTACAGGGAAAGTATATGATGCTCTCTACAGACCCAGAGACACCCATAAACTGTAGGGCACTGGCTGGATCTAGTGCTCATTTTGCATGATAAGTGTCCCAGGGGGTGAGAAATCCCCAGCGAGGTGAAGGGAGGCTGTGCCCACCCCTCTCCTTCCCACTGGTGCAGTCACCTCAACCTCTTACCCCTCATGTATGAAGAAGGTCACCTTCACCTCTCTCCTCCTGTGTACAAGGAAGCTGCTTCAAGTTTCAAGGCTGAAAAGATTTGCCCCTTCATTGGATGGGTCCATTAAAAATAGCAGAAGGTGGGGAACTGGTGGTGGAGGGTCCTGGATCCACTAAATGATGAAAGCCTGTCTTCAGGCTCTTGTAAGGGAAGATTTCAGAATGGGCATAAAAGTTCTTGCCCCAGCCCTCAGGCTGCGTCCTTCAGGTTCTAAAAAGTAATGAAGCGTCCAAGAGAAAAAATACATACCTCTTTATTGCAGGGGTATGGAGAATAGTGTGAAATTTCTTTATTTTTCTACTTAAGAATCTCACCTTGGCATATGTGTACGCAAGAGTACAAAAAATATGGGAAACTCAGTTTAAACAGTCATATTTGGTTTCTTTTCGGTTTCCTCTGTAGAAAAAGCATCAAAATCTACACAATGTCCAAGCAAAACCTGTAAGAGTTGGTCTGAAACCAGCATTGTCTCAACCTTGTCATCAGGGATATGGACAATATGGTACCCCGAAAGTTAGGCTAATATCTTGACATGAGTCTGCCTGAGAGGCAGTTGCTGATCCTGAGAATGGAATGCCAGGCTTGTAAGATCATTATGCCCTGGACAGAGCAAGGACAAGAGTTAAGCAACTTGTTCATCTGGAAGGAAACAGCAAAAAGATGAGTGCTGGTATCTGCTTCTCCCTTCTAGAAACCTTGTGAGGGGAGATAACAGCTGAAACAGGGAGTCTTGCGGAGGCAAGACGGCTCTGTTTTGGCTAAAGAGTGCCGTGCTGTTCTCCAGTACCAGGGATGAGCCCGAGAACTGTTATCAAGAAAGATTGATCAGCATCGATGGAGCCAAGAAGAGGCAGAGATACAGAGGAGAAGCAAGGTGTGCTACTTGGCATAAAAGATGGCTCCTCAGCACCCGAACTTTGGAAGCTTTCCCCACCAAGGATCATGACAATCGTTAGGACCGACAGGACGTTGCCTGCACCTGGGACCATAGGGACCCCTTGGACCTGTGTTGGTATCTATCAATTTCTTTCCTCTTTTCACTTTACTTTTCCCTTTCCTTTCACCCTCTTTACCTATCGCACGCCACTTTATGAGCAAACAATAAAGTCTCACTGTTTGATTGAAGCAAACCCTTTTGGCACGGTTGCCTTAATTTTGCACTTCAAGATTACAGCAAACGAACCATCACGAGTCCACTGAAAAGCCCACATCAACTCAAACTCTCCAGAGGGCTTGTAAGCATGCCTAGCTTGCAAGAAAATGTTGCTGACTTGTGCTGGGTTGACCACCCCAGCAATTCAGTTGCATAGTTACCCTTGCTTTTTCATGCCTACAGCAGATTTCCCTGTAAATTAGGGGGAAAGAAAACAACCACCTCTGTTGCACTACTGTGTCCATTTACTTCATTCCAATGCTTTGATTCAAGTAACGTGTCCACCACCACCAGGCTGAAGTAAGGAGAAGAGATGGCAGGCAGGGGTCAGCTGGTGGGTTGCCCAAGCCTCATTTGCCATGTGGGTGGAAGCAGGGGAAAGAAAAAAAGCAGTAAGAGGTTAAGGCAGAAGTCTTCTAGTGAATGATTGTGCCTGGCTCTCCCATCCAGAAAAGGCCACAGGAGAGCTCAAACACAAACAAGTTAATAATGTGTCTGAGATCCAAGGCTCTCAGTACTGTTTTGCAGAAAGGATTATTTCATTTGCATTTTCTATAAATGAGTCATGACCTATTGATAGCTACAAAAGTCTCTGTATTGCTTCTGTGAAAATCTGGCCTCAGAGATACTGTCTTACTTTTTTTTTTTGCTGTGTTAAAATTCTGTCTCCCCATGTGGTGGGAGCCATGGTGCGGACTGCTGGTGGGACAATGCAGTGGCAGAAAGCAAAAGCAGATAAACTTAAATAGGAAAGGGGAGGGAAACAGAAGGTTTAGTGCTGCTGGAGCCAGACCATTCATGGGGCCAGCTTTAGAGCTAGTGTCTCCTTATCACTGCTCTGGTCTTCTGCCCCAGCTAGAGCTGAGGGGTGCAGCCACTGCACCTAACGTCTTGTCTTGCCTCTCCTGCTGACCAGTCGTCAGAGGAAGGATACCCCACAGGTACCTGGGCAGATACCCTGGAGGCCTCTGGATAAACCAGGCATGGCCCCACACTGCAAAGCTAAGAATAAATTAGGAAAAGCGAAGAAAACTTTCCCAATGTAGTTAAAAGCAAGAAAGATGTTAGGGTTTTCTTTCATGTATCCTCAATAATGCACGGATCCCTCAATCCTTGTCTTTTAAAATCTCTTACAGACCACCTTAAATTCACTGGAGAAGTGCTCTGTCTTGTGTTAGGTACAGCCCTGCCATCTGTTGGATTTTTTTTTAAATTAAACATTTGTTTAATACAAGAAAAAAACCAAACCTGACAGCAGTTACTTTGGTTTTTTAATTCAGTCAAATATGTGTTTGCTTTCCTAAAAGTGTTCAGAAACCAGCAGTGACCCTGACATTTCCTGGGGAGTCCAGTTAATCCAGGGCCCCAACCAGACAGCCTGTGCCCAAGGCTGTGCTCCTGCCTCAGACCCAGTATCGCCAAAGGTGTAAACCAGCTTCAGTGATGAGAACATCCCGCTTCTGTGGGCATCTTCCAACAGGAAAAGGAAAAGGTTTCTTTTATGGGAAAACAGTTGTTTTTTTTCACCTAAGACTAACAGATCACGTCATATATGTTTGTCTAGGCTTCAGAGAGACTTCCTAGGGGAAGAAGACCAGGGTACTAAAAGACCCTTTAATGTAACAAAGATAGGGATAAGAAAACCAAGCCATGGGCGTCTCAAGACAGACAAATTCTTATTAGACACAAACATTTAACAGAAGGTGAACTATAACACAATATATGGAGGAAGATGGCAGATTTCTGCCTTTTTGGGGTGAGATTTCCCTGTATGTCCTCCAGTGGGAACAGCCACAAGTCAGCTAGGAACCCTTTCTGTCTCTGGAGAGCAACAGGCACTTCCATGGTGCAGTTCATTCCTTCAAATGGACACTTCACCTTCAGGAGGAGACGAATCATATCTTTGAAGTACCTCTGTACTTTTTGTCTCTGGTGACCATGCAGGGAGCTTGGGATGACATATGGTCAGAGAAGTGTGTCTTTTGTGTCTAGGCATCTTTCTGGCAGAACCACTTGAACAAAACACAACTAATGATGCCCAAAGCTCAGGTGACTGCGTGCAGTGTAAAATTTGATGCTTAGATGTTCTTAGGTGATTTCACAGTCCCTTCCAGCCTTGCTTTCTGTGATTCTGGGGCTGCACTACAGCAGAGCCATGGTGCAGCCTGCCACGGGGTTGGCATTGGCAGTCAGGGCCAGCCTATGATCTGGATGACCTTGACAAGTGCTTTTGGTTCCTTGCTCCATGGGAGGGGTAATGGGAGGGGATGCCCCTTTGGCAGTGCTCAGTGTCATGTCACAGGAGAAACCAGCTGCAGCTACCCAGCAAGCACTCGCTCCACAGCTGCGCCCAGCACAACATGTACCACCAGCTCCTTCCTTTCAATATGAAGAGGGCTTCAATAAAAAAAAATAAAATAAAATAAAATAAAAAAAAAGACTTACCAGAGAGCCTCTAAGCATGGAGGATGTGTTCACTGCCATCATCCTGGTTCAAGCCTCTGATGATTTTGAATATGCTCACTTTACTCATTCTCTCTGAACAGAAGAAATGAGCACTCTGGCTTCTGTTTTCATTTACTTAAGCTGCATTCGACAAAGAAGCCCCAAGGGGTTTTTGTTTAGGGACCCAGGCAAGGTTAGTTAAACTGGCAACTGGATCATTTGCTTATGAAAATATGAAAGGCAGGGTTTAGAAACTGCTTATTCAAGATGCTGTTACAACTGCAGACAATGGCAGAAGATGCTCCCTGAAGTACACTGTTGGAAGTAGGATTTTTAGTATAGTTGGTGTGTTCACAGCAGGGAGCTTCTACCGTTCTTCCAATAGTCTTGTCCAGTTTCACACTGCAACTGTTATTGCTGTGTCAAAACACAGGCAAATTTCCTCTCTGAAAGCCAGCAGGCAGCTAAAGGAAACCACTGCAGATAATGTCATGGGATTTCTACACTGCAACACAAACAACAGGAAAAAGCTCATATCTAGTCTGCACTTGGGAGGTTTTCCCATCCCCCAGAAGTTTTTCCCCACAAAGGGACTCATTCAAAACCTCTCAGGGAACTTGGTCCTGCCCCGACTGCAGCTGGACCCTGACAAAAGTAATGAAGAACCCAGGCAAAAATGGTTCCCTGAGTCATGTATCTGATTCAAGGCAAGGTCGCAGTGTGCTGGGAGACAGCCTGGGGCGAACATGCATGGATGAGTGATGTTGCCTGATGCCCAGCCTGAGTTATGACAGTAGTGAGAAGGTGACATTAAGCGAACCATAGAACATGTGCTCCAGACCTTCGCCACGGGCAAATGCACTCTCACAGACATAGCCCAGAGGATGTAACTACATGGAGGGGTATAGCTCAACTGCCAATTAAAATCTCAGCAAAGTCTCACTTAGCATCCACGTTGCTCATACACATGCATGGGCAGCCTGAACTTTGCCCAGACTTGGAGGAGGCTGGAGGGGAAGACAAAAAGACACACCAGTTCAGGCAGAGTGGTCACACCATCTAAATTAAGCAGGTCATGTATGGATCATTACACCTCAGGTCCATGCACAACCCACATGGTCTCCAGGCATCTTCAAAGCATTAGACCAACCTGGACTTTTGATGAGTGATGCTAGACATCCAGCCACTCGCGCTCTCCCAGACACAGTCGAGGGTCAGCACAGGTCTGCCACCCTTCACAGCAGTTAGCATGGCGACATTGATCCAGTTTGAGGGGTAAGTGAATTTAGTAGTACAGATATGAGCTGTGCTGCACCTGCTGGCCTCAGGGGCAGTTAATGGTCTCTGGTCTGTTTTATTATAGTGGAGAGACAGCCTCTGGGTCTAAAACATACTTGATCATTTTTCCATCTACCTTCTGTGAACAGGATCTAGAGTAGAGTCTCTACTATGCATTAAATCAGGAAATTACTATCATTAAAAATCACTTTATTCAATCAGTTTTATAGCCGTCTTGCGGTTACCAAGTTTTGTCTTCAAGTGCACACTGAAAGAGTGTCTACGTGACTGTCAGCCTTTCGTAGGTCTCAGTCTCATGGAAATACCAAGTACACCTTTAAAATGTCTAGCTGGGGTCTTGCAAACAGAGTTGCCATGGCAGCGTGGAACAGGCCCGGCAGGACATCTCTGCTTGCCTTTTCAAAGGTGATAAACCATTCAGAGCATCTAATGGATACTTTTTAAAAACAAACTGGGCTTAAAGAAAACCTGGCTTGCCCCACTCTCTTAAAGCATCAACCTGAGACCTAAAATCACCAGTCACATAAGAAAAGAGGTAAGCCCATGGTGTGAGAGGCCCATGTAAACCTGATGTGAAATCAGAGCGAGCCCCCAGCAATGAGGACACAGCCGCATCGCTGCCGGTGGCTGGAGCAAGCTCTCAGCACAGCAGTCCTGCAGTTCTCCCCTTGCCTCTGCAGATGGCTGTTGCGCTCGTAATTGCTGCTATTGAAAGTACCTGGCTTTATTCTCCTTCATTACTTTGCTTCTGACAGGAGAAATCAACTGCACTTGGAAAGTAAACAGCTTTTGTTGCAGTTCTCCTGAATATCAGTGCTGCAATAAAATGCTTAGGAAAAACACACACACAATGCAGGAAAATAAAAAATGCTGAACACCAGTTGTTAATATTTTCATCATGCCGTAGGAGTGCCTAATGTTTGACTGGAAATACAGACAGAGCTGAGAGTGTCTCCCCTCCAGGACTTCTGGCCTCAGTTCTTCAAAGACTTCAGGACATACTTTCAGCTGTCCAGAGAAGTTGTGTGAAGGGCTGTTTGGAGTGTATAAAGGTTTGTGCCTGAGTATTTGCAGGGCTGAAGCCTGACCTGATGAGCACAGAAAATTGGAGAAAACTAGAAAGAGTAGTAGAGGAGTTCAATCTTGATTGGACAAAATTGAAGCTGAGGCATTCGGCAGCATGAAAAGCCGTTTATGACTGGTAACTGCTGTCCCTTCGAGAGAGGAACACATGAGCTTTTCTTAAATGCTCGGACTAATTGAGTCTCATCAAGACCTGACGATTCAGAGGCATGCAAACATCTCCAGCTCTTTCAAGTTGCTCACACTATACATGTCCAGCTGGGCAATGATGGACACAGAAGAAACAAGGGAATCCCACCTGATTTATGCCTGAAGCTTGACCTAGAATTTAAGATCTGAGACTCCTACATCCTTATATTCAACCTCACCCAGAGCTTTATTTTGAGCTAGATAGCTCCAGAGCTGAGCGCAGAATCCTCCTGTTTACCTACAGTGTTTCTGTCTGCAAAGTGTTCAGTCTAGATTTGAGGAATCGTTTTCCCTTGTGTAAACAAGTCCAACACATATCCCTTGCCTGCCTGAATCTGAGGTTCAACCACTTGACTATCTTACTCCTCCTCAACATCGGCATATTGACTCCTCTCTGAACGTATCTCAGGCATGCGTTTATAGGCCATAAGAAACTCTCCCATTCATCTTCTCTTGCACAGGCTACAAGACTTGTTGCATCTTCTTCTATATTTGCCTTCTCGTTTTCTCATGGTGAGTGTTACTCCATCAGCCTTTTTATCTTCATTTTGTGCTTCAGCTCACATCTGACCTCTGATGGAGTGGTCTCCCACGAGTGCAAGTACCAGGGAACAACCCTGCACCGGCTGAAATGGTCCCTCTGGCCCAAGCTCCCCCAGCCACCAATTCCCGCAAGTGACTCCTTGTTCCCAGCAGTGACCATGCACGTCAGCTACACAATAAAATAGGAGGCCACACAAGCTGCAGCTTTTTTCCAAATGCTGTGGGTTTTCCTCTAAGAAATGCCTCTTTCCTTAAAGCGGGGCGGGGGGGTGGG